ATGGGCTTCCCGCGAAACTCAACAAATTTCCCGGCGGTGGAGGCTACACAGTAAGCCACTATTACACAGGCCCATAATAAAAAAGTCAAAAGAACACAAGTAACAAGTTTTCAACGTTTCATGTTCAACTAGCATGTAAAGCGTTTCTTCGCGAGCGAGGCAACAAACAAACAAATAAATAAATATTTCCAACACTCACACCAATTAGCCTAGCCCCAAAGTAAGCATTGTAAGGCTTGTGTTATGGGATGCTAGGGTAACGGATAGAATACATATACTGTACATATATAAGTATATTTATTTAGAAATACATATTAAACATCCATGACTGGAGTACAAAAGCTCGTACACAAACATCTGCCCCCACCGGGATTCGAACCCGGGACCTCTCGAGTCGGCGACACCATGAAACCCGGCATACAAACCACTCGGGCACGGAGGTCATCATCATCATCATCATCAGCCTATTAATGTCCCCACTGCTGGGGCACAGGCCTTCCCTATGGATGGAATAGGGAGATTGGGCCATGACTCACCACGCGGGCCCAGTGCGGATTGGTGAGTGCTAACGACTGCAGATGCAGCCGGGACCAACGGCTTAACGTGCCTTCCGAAGCACGGAGGAGCTCGAGATAGTAATATTTGGTCACCCATCCAATGACCGACCACTGCGAAAGTTGCTTAAGTTCAACGATCGCAGCCGAACGCGCTAACCACTTGCGCCATCGAGCTCCTCACACGGAGGTTGTCATTATTTTAATATATTCATCAAATATTATATAATTCTTTAGTTTAAATATAATAATTATCTTGTTTCATGAGATTTGAGTTTTCATTTTTGACGGCACTCCGGGAGTGCACACACCGTCTTATTTATTGTGGACATAATACCTATTATACAAGTACATGGTTGTACGCATCACATGCATCTCGACCAGATCCCGGAAATGAGGATTCTAGAGCCACATTAACGCGTCACTTCACCGAAGACCTGCCAGAAGTCAGTATTGGCGAAATCGAGATTGCTCTTGGGCAGCTTAAAAATGGAAAAGCCCCTGGAGAGGATGGTGTTACAACAGAACTCTTGAAAGCTGGAGGTAAACCCGTACTGAGGGAGCTCCAAAAGCTTTTTAACACTGTCCTGTTCGAAGGGAGAACTCCGGAGATGTGGAGTAGGAGTGTGGTAGTCTTGTTCTTTAAAAAGGGGGACAAGACCCTACTCAAGAACTATCGACCCATATCCCTTCTAAGCCACGTCTATAAGCTGTTCTCAAGAGTGATCACGAACCGTCTTGCGCGAAGACTTGATGACTTCCAACCACCGGAACAGGCTGGGTTTCGGAGCGGATACGGCACCATAGACCACATCCACGCAGTACGGCAGATTATACAGAAGACTGAAGAGTACAATCAGCCTCTGTGCCTAGCATTTGTGGACTATGAGAAGGCCTTTGACTCGATTGAAATCTGGTCTGTCCTGGAGTCCCTGCAGCGTTGCCAAGTCGACTGGCGATACATCCAAGTGATTAGATGTCTCTACAAAGCCGCCACCATGCCTATCCAAGTACAGAATCAGCAAACAAGTCCCATACCGTTGCATCGTGGAGTGAGACAAGGGGACGTTATTTCCCCGAAATTGTTCACTAATGCAATGGAGGATATGTTCAAGATGCTGAACTGGAAAGGACATGGCATCAACATCAATAGCGAACGCATCTCTCACTTGCGATTTGCAGACGACATCGTCATCATGGCAGAAACCCTGCAGGGCCTACAAAAAATGCTGAATGACCTAGCTGACTCTTCTATACGCATCGGCCTACGGATGAACTTGGATAAAACCAAGGTCATGTTCAATGAACATGTTCTACCGGAACCGATTGCAATACACGGTGCCGTTCTCGAAGTTGTTCAAAAATATGTATACCTCGGGCAGACATTGCAGTTAGGTAGAAACAACTTTGAGGACGAGGTGAATAGAAGAATTCGGCTGGGCTGGGCAGCGTTTGGGAAGCTACGTCAAGTCTTGACATCGTCGATCCCACAGTGCCTAAAGACGAAAGTCTTCAATCAGTGCGTCCTACCTGTAATGACATACGGAGCCGAGACGTGGACACTGACGGTACGGCTGGTCCACAGGTTCAAAGTCGCTCAGCGCGCTATGGAAAGGGCTATGCTCGGCGTTTCTCTGAAGGATCGCATCAGAAATGAGGTAATCCGACAGAGAACCAGAGTTATCGACATAGCCCACCAGATTAGTAAGCTGAAGTGGCAGTGGGCTGGCCATATTTGCCGAAGAACCGATAACCGTTGGGGTAGACGAGTTCTGGAGTGGAGACCGCGTCTAGGCAAACGTAGTGTAGGACGTCCTCAGGCACGGAGGAGTGACGATTTGCGCAAGGTGGTTGGCAGGAGCTGGATGCGAGTAGCCCAAAATCGATCTGAGTGGCGTGCAATTGGAGAGGCCTATGTCCAGCAGTGGACTAGGATAGGCTGTTGATGATGATGATGATGATGGTTTGATAGCTGAACAAAATTTGGTTGGTATTAGATACCAGAAATTTTATTAATTAACCTTATTTTAATATAATGTCATAAATTTCCAACAAAATATCATTAGATTTTTCGATATTGAGTATTTGAAACATTCGTGTCTTTGACATTAACAATTAATGTAATAACTTTTTCTATAAAAATATATTTTTTTAAACTTATCATAACTTAAAATAGATTGTCGAATAGTAAGTTTCTTGAAGTGCTGGTAGCGTACACAAAAGTGGAAAATCTAAATGAGCTGAAAAGTTGCGGAATATTAAAAAGTGAGTTAAGAATAGACCGCACTGCTCAAAGCGAAGTTAGGGAACAGAATTCTGCTCACGACAAGGAGTCAGATTCCATGGAAGTCGTAAAAAAGAACTAATTCAAAAATGTGTAGTATACGGTACCTGCGGAATCTCCCTCGAGCCTCAATGGAAAACATTGCTGGAGACTTTTTGTGAGTACTTTAGGTTCAGCTGAAAGAAAGAAAGAAATAATTTATTGACCAATAACATTGCAAAATAGAAGTAAAAGCATAGGTAAAATACAGAATAAGGTCAACTAGGTCCCTACCTCAGCACAATACGGATAGAATATATATACAGTTAGGTCATAAGTATTGTCACACAGTAAAAACTTTTCTTTTAGAATGCTGGCCACAAAAAAGTTTGTTGAATTCGAATTTCGAATTGTTCATGAAAATAAAAATGTATACTTTTTAGAATTTTACTCATATATAAATAAAATAAAATAATCATATATAAATATAATAATATAATAAACAAAAAGGGAAGATACGGTACGCTCATACTAGCATCAAATAATTTATATAAATAAATATTTTCAACACACACACCAGCCTAGCCCCACAGTAAGCACTATAAGGATTGTGTTATGGGATACTAGGTTAACGGATAGAATACATATATTGTACATATATAAGTATATCTATATGAAATACATATTAAACATCTATGACTGGAGTACAAATGCTCGTATTCATTACACAAACATGTGCCCCCACCGGGATTCGAACCCGAGACCTTTCGAGTCGGCGACGCCATGCAACCCGGCGTATAAACTACTCGGCCACGGAGGTCGTCAACTCTAAATCGCATTTTCTGTATTGCCATCAAACGCATCTCGCGTAAAGGCTACGTTGGCACACCTTCAAAAGATCTCCGATGAATTGGAGAAAGATATTTCACTGAATTCTTTTGTACGGTGGAGATGACCGCCAGAATGGCGCTTTAATTGAGTAAATAAAACTAGATTTTAAGGGTTAATGCACGAAACTTTATTAACAGGCTACGTCATCGGAATCAAACTTTTATTATCAAATAAAAGTTCTTCGTTGATACCGACGACGTAGCCCGTAAAGGCTACGAAACGTCAATAAATAAATAAAGTTTCGTGCATTAACCCGTAAAATCTAGTTTTATTTAATGAGTGATGTGCGTGAAAACCTAAGAAACAGATATTAACAAAGTATTTTATACTCTTAGATAAACGAAGGCACTTCTATCAGCTCTATGTCCGCGTATCTTCCTCAAACTTCCACGGAGAGTAGTTAAATTTTTCTCTTAAAAAAGCGCTCCGCAAACTCAGAAAACCCTCTAATGGTTCCCACCATTAGGCATTCATCGATTCCCAATTTATCTCGCTTCTTAATTGTTCTTTCTCCCCAATCGGTAAGTCAATCGCCTTTTTACTTTCGATTCTAATCGATAACAAACTGGAAAGTGTCGTAAATCTCTCGATATTATTGCCGTTATGATTTATTCGTATTGTAAAGTTTCCCAAATACCCAAATAACGGAGCATCGTGTAATCGAGTTTTTAATCGAGATTAATATCGATAGTACGATTTATCGTGAAACGTGTCACGATAAATCGTACTATGTAATTTTCCTTTATCATTAATTTGGGATCACATTAATTGGATGATAATTACATTTTAAAATGATGTTGATTGATTGGAATTCGTGAAATTATTTACTTACTTGTGATAATATTTTTCAATACAGATTTACCATTTGCTTGTTATAATTTCATAAGTCTTCATACTAATCTATTATAGTTAAAATGAACTTTCTTATTTAGTTCTCGTTCTCCAAAACCTAACAAATCAAATCTATAATATGAAACTCAAAGGTGACTGACTGACTGACATAGTGATCTATCAACGCACAGCCCAAACTACTGGACAGATCGGGCTGAAATTTGGCATGCAGGTAGATGTTATGACGTAGGCTAAGAAAGGATTTTGAATTCTATTCTACCCCCAAGGGGATAAAATAGGGAATGAAAGTTTGTATGAAACTTTGTCAATTTTAAACCGATCGGGCTGAGACTTTGCATGCAGGTATAAGAAGAATCATAGATGAATGTCATTGTGTACAATACAAGCCTGAGAACAGAAACTATAGTCTACACTTTCACTTATTTATAAACCAAAACTCCAAAAAGATCACACTTTTTGACATTTAAAAAAAGTTGTTCAAAATTTGACAGTGTCTCAGTAACAAAGTGTAAGGCAAATTTGTATTTAATTTAATAAATATTCCGTTCGGTAGATGGAAAGCTATGGTTACGCCTACCCACCGTCGTTTCCGCCCATGGGACCCACTGAAGGTGCCTTCCCGGACCATGGGGATGGTTTCGGCGACTATTATGGTTTGTCTTCCATGACCGAGGAACGGGATATCAGCAGAAGGTTAGTGCATCCCTGTTCTATGTCAAAGGTTTAAGGTAAAGTTCTGAAGAACATCAATCACAATACACTCACTAAATTTGAAATAAAATGCTGAAAAAATAAAGGTAAAACTGTACTTCCAGGGCCCAAGAATTGACACTTCACTATTTTTTGGAGAAAAGGTCTCTGTTAATGAAGTCTCTATGCAAAGTCTCCAGACCAGAGTACTGAGAGTTTTTGAGAAAAATAAAATATAGAAAATTTCTTTTCTAGTAAATAAATATCACCATTTTGACAAATTTCATTGCTTTTTTTATATTCTCTTTTTTTAAATAAGGCGAAATAAACAAAGTGCATACAGCCTTCTTTTTTCTTTAATGATTTTCATGTCAAGATTATCATACAGCCATTGAGAGTTTCTTTTGGCAGCCAACAATTTTCAGTTGGCGGGAGCGGGATTAGCAGCCCCTCTGCTAAGCTCCCTCCGCAGCTTTTCAACAACAAAAATGCGAAGTTGCAACCAACAAAACTGTGAAGTTTTTATTTTTGGGCCCTGGAAGTACAGTATATTCAGTAACTCGATTGCGCGAGTGGTTAACGCGTTCGGCAGCGATCGTTGAAGTTAAGCAACTTTCACAAGTCATTGGATGGGTGGCCAAAAATTTACTATCTCGAGCTCCTCCGTGCTTCGGAAGGCACGTTAAGCCGTTGGTCCCGGCTGCATCAGCAGTCGTTAGCACCCACCAATCCGCACTGGACTCGCGTGGTGGTTCATGGTCCACTCTCCCTATTCCATTTTATTTTTTATTTATTCGTATGGCATTGTCTTGTCACAGGAATCAGAGTTTAAAATCTAAATGTCTTAGCCAATTGGCAGCGTCGTTATCGAGGGAGACCAGGTCCTCCATCGCACCATCGTATTTGGTAAGGGGACACTCCTGTACGATGTGTTGGATGGTCTGTACGTCGGCACCGCATTCACATCGGGGCGAGTCGATCCAGCCGCATCGATGTTTGTAGTGGGCACAGAGACCGTGACCCGTCCGCAGTCTGTTGAGGAGGCACCACTCTCGCCTGGGTAGATCAAAGCCTGCTGGCCTCACTCCTGGGGTGAACTTTTCAGCAAGTGTTCCTTCCGTCGTTGTCTTCCAGTCACTCCTCCATTGGGTCCTCGCATCAAAACCATCCTCGGGCATGGTGGCTGCCGTATGGCATGGTGGTCTGCGGGACTTGAGTCTAGGTTCGTGGTCCACTCTCCCTATTCCATTCATAGGGAAGGCCTGTGCCCCTGCAGTGGGGACATTAATAGGCTGATGATGATGCTGCTTGATTGATCGGGCAGCAGACAGCCCAGGACCGTTCAACATGAAGATCTTTAGGGGAGCCCTATGCTGAGCAATGAGCGTCGTATGGCTTAATGAAGATGTTGATTTACTGAAGTGTGTACTCCTCCTGTGTGTGTAAAAGTCCTCTGATATGTCCTCTATACCGTTCAATTCTAATATATAATTATATATAACTAGCAAACCAGTGAACCAAATGTTCACCAAAACCTGATTTCTCGAAAACCGGAAGTGCTACGTTACTCAAATCCGGTTTGTAGTCTTATCAGACTATACTTAACTGATAACTTAAATATTCTCTTTATCTATCTCTTACGGTTTGGCCGCTGAAACAGCACCACAGACAGACGGACGGACTTGTCTAATAGATAAGAGATATATAAATTCCGATCGAAATTAAAAGAGAAAGCAACATAAATACATTTAAAATGAAACTCAAACAACATCTTATCAAGAAAGCATATTATTCGGTAAATGAATTTAAGAATGATAAGTGAAACCGTCACGGAAAGCTCAATAACTTGTTTGTAAACTGAAACTGTTTAGTGGTTGTGTTGATATAGATATTGTACTTGCAACACCCTGACAGGGTCATGTACCACACTAAAATAACTTTAAGATCCTAAACTGTACATGTGCAATTAATTAAATAAATAAATACTCATTGTTTCATGTGATAATGCAATAAAAGCACTCCGCAGGTAACCTTTTTTTGCTTCGCTATCAGAAGCTATAAATAAAAAATAAATAGAGGTAAAACTTATTACAAGATTTGATAAAGGTAGGACATGTTGGAAATATCGTTTAAATTGGAGCGCCTCTCTGGGGAGGTAACCCCCACTTACATGATCAAAATAAAAATAACACTATCTTTGTTGGTACTGTTTTTGTGTTAGTCAGGGCGATCTTCAGGCTTTAGGGGCTGGGGACTGGGCTCAGGGTAGTAAGGCATTCATTAGCTTCTAAAACTATTATCATTATCATTAAAAAATAAACCTGTTTAGGATCTGAAACGACAAAAAATTAAAAAGAAATGTAATAAAATGGTAAATTGACAATACATAGTTTATGTTTTGAGGAGCTCGATGGCGCTGGTGGTTAGCGCGTTCGGCTGTGATCGTTGAAGTTAAGCAACTTTCGCAGCGGTCGGTCATTGGATGGGTGACCAAAAATCTTCTACTTCGAGTTCCTCCGTGCTTCGGAATGCACGTTAAGCCGTTGGTCCCGGCTGCATCTGCAGTCGTTAGCACTCGCCAATCCGCACTGGGCCCGCGTGGTGGGTCATGGCCCAATCTCCCTATTCCATCCATAGGGAAGGCCTGTGCCCTAGCAGTGGGGATGTTAGTAGGCTGATGATGATGACGATGATTTTATGTTTCATTTATGTTAAATGGATGGCAAACGAACATTGACTCGCATAATGGTAAGCAGACACGAAAATCTATACATGCTTGCGATACCAAAAATATCACTCCTGCCCTAACTCAATCCTCTACCTCGTGGAGCCCAGGAACCTTAATCAGCGACAGATACACAACATCATAAATAATATTATACTAAAGACTAGTGGCCCGCCCTCACTTCGCTTCGGTGTAGAGCTGTAGTGTAAACTATACTTTTTGTTTTCAGGCTTGTGTTATAAACAATGACTTTATTTTTATAATTACACGTGTTATTGTGAGTCAATCATAAAAGATAACCATATGCTGTTGCGGGATATTTTTTAGACAATTTTATGTAGAATATTTCCGTCATACATAATTTCTATGTAACTTTAACCATTAAAGCTGCACACGCGACGGAAGCTTAAAAAATGGAGTAACTTCTCCCGTTTTTCCAACATTTCCCTTCACTTCTCTGCTCCCATTGATTGTAGCGTGATGCAAAGTATACTATAACCTGCCCAGGAGAATGAAAAATAATTGTACCAAGTTTCGTTAAAATCCGTCGAGTAGTTTTTGTTTCTATAAGGAACATACACACAGACAGACAGACAGACAAAAATTTTACTGATTGCAGTTTTGGCATGAGTATCGATCACTAATCACCCCCAGATAGTTATTTTGAAAATATATTTCATGTACAGAATTGACCTCTCTACAAATTTATTATAAGTATAGAAGAAAAGTTTTACTAGAAAAAAATCCACGCGGACCAGGCAGCGGACGGGACGGGGATTTTTCTAGTAAAACTTTTCTTTAGATTTAAACATCTAGCAGTTAAATGCTTAAAAAACAATGTTAGATTAAAAAGTTTACTAGAAAAAAATCCACGCGGACCAGGCAGCGGACGGGACTCATAAAGCATCATCAGCATAAACATCCAGCAGTTAAATGCTTATAAAATAAATAAAAACATAACTATAATTGCTATTTCTTCTTTCAAATGTTTAATACTTGAAAAAGTATTCATTTCACATTGTGGGTTACCTACAATGCGAAGAGATGGCGCTGCCTTGCAGCTTAAGGCTAGGAAAGTTTCGACGCGGCTAATAGGGCCGTGGTAGCATAATGGTCAGTGCATTCGCCCGGATAGCGAAGGATGCGGGTTCGAGTCCCGTCCGCTGCCTGGTCCGCGTGGATTTTTTTTCTAGTAAACTTTTCTTTAGATTTAAGCATCCAGCAGTTAAATGCTTAAAAAATAAATAAAATCATAATGTTAGATTACTTCCCCAGACGGGCGCTCCAATCAGGTATACTTTACCTCTCTTAAACATATTTGTATAAATAAATAAAGTAAATATTTCCAACACACACACTAATTAGCCGAGCCCCAAAGTAAGCACTGTAAGACTTATGTAATGGGTTACTAGGGTAACGGATAGAATACATACACTGTACATATATAAATATATTAGTTGTACCCGCCCTCGCTTTGCTTCGGTGTAGAGCAGTAGTGTAGACTATAGTTTGTGTTCAAAGGCTTGTATTATCTCTTATCTATTAGACAAGTCCGTCCGTCCGTCCGTCCGTCTGTCGGTGGTGCTGTTTCAGCGGCCAAACCGTAAGAGATAGATAAAGAGAATGTTTAAGTTATAAGTTAAGAATAGTCTGATAAGACTACAAACCGGATTTGAGTAACGTAGCACTTCCGGTTTTCGAGAAATCACGAATTTCAAACGAAACCACACAAAATCTCCGAAGTTCTCAATTAATTAAATACATTTTTTTTTTGTTTTGGTGAACATTTGGTTCACTGGTTTGCTAGTAATAATCATAATCAATGATAATCAAAATCATTTATTCAGTTTAGGCTGTTACAAGCACTCATGAATGTCTAGAATCTACGCCATCGGTTCGTAAATCTACGGCAGGAGACCTTGTACTGAGAAGAACCGGCAAGATACTCAGCAAGAGCTGTTTTTTTCTCCCTGTTTTATTATTTACAGAGTCGTCAAATTGAAAAATGACTTCAGAGATGATTCATGAAGTTACCTTTTATTACATAATGATTAAATAATATATACAATGACCTTCTTCATAATAATTATAAACCTTCCATTCCAAGTTAAAAAAAATCGCTGCGTAGTTTAGGATCCGTTGTACCGAATGCAAAATTGTTCTGCTGTTCAGATTTGAAAAAATCTTTTTATATTGGACAGTGTATTTATTGAGAAAGGCTATAGGCTATATATTACCAGGCTACGACCAGTAGCAGCGGAACGTCGATGAAAAATGTTGCAAAAACGGGTAAAAATATTCCATTTGTGAGATTCCGTTGCTTGCGCTTGGTAAATGGTTAAAGTTACACAAAAATCATGTATAACGGAATTCCTCTTTAAAAGTTCTGTAAAAAAGTCCACGACAGCCTATGTACATATTTTAAGTTTGACTCACTATAAACCTTTTTCTTCAAATTAACGCAAGTGAAACCGCAGGGAACCTCTCGTTGTCACATAACTGTACTAGTTAGACATATGGTATGGTGGGACATATGGTATGGTGGTATGGTATGGTATGGTATGGCTTTATTACATCATTTTGCTCTTTTATCAATGACTTCCGCAGCTTACGCGATATAAGGCTATCTTTTGGTATATTTTACACACGTTGGGTTACATTATAGAAGTTTCCATACGGAACCCTAACTTTTTTGAAAATACACTTTAGCCTATATTAATCAGTGATAATGTAGCATTCAAATGGTGAAAGAATTTTTAAAATCGGTCCAGTACTTTTTGAGCCAATTCATTACAAAGATACTTACATACAAACTTTTCCTCTTTATAATTTAAGTATAGACTTATATAGAAATACATATCAAACATCCATGACTGGAGTACAAATGCTCGTATTCATCACACAAACATCTGCCCCCACCGGGATTCGAACCCGGGACCTCTCGAGTCGGCGACACCATGAAACTCGGCGTACAAACCACGCGGCCACGGAGGTCGTCGTCGTTTATATATAAGTATTTGATTTTACAGGCGCAGTCGTTCAAGGCATCGTGCGAACAATCGCCGCACCAAACGCCCCCGAAGCCCGACAACGAGTCTTAACAAAACTCGCACTAGATCCAGGAGTCGGTCGAGGTCAAAGAGTCGCAGTCGCACGCGCAGTCGTAGTCGCAGTCGTACTCGGTCGAGGTCGAGGTCGGGCAGTCGACGACGGAAGCATAGCTACAGGGAACCTGGACTGCTGGATTCGTTTAGAGTTCTATATCTGACGCGTAAGTACTATGGGATGCATATTTGAAAGGAATCACGGAGTTACGTGTGGCAATAGGGGTGATGACGAGGTACAGTAAACGAAATTCTATTCAGTCCGTCAGTTAGATGATCAAAAAATAATGGACATGTATTTTTTCTTTGGGCAATCAACCAAAAAATGACAGTTATAGCGCGTCAAAGTTTGGGAGTAGGGGCTCGTGACGTCACTTTTAAGTGAAAATTGTACCAAAACGTGACGTCATACGACTTTTCAAATCAATATAGATATATTATATAAATATAAACATTGCAGAGATCTGCAATGTTTATATTATGTTCAAAAAGAAAAAATACGTGTCCAATACTTTTGGATAATCTATCTGATAAACGAAAAAAATAGTCATCATCCCTATTATTTGCAAATATTTTAGTGTATTAAAGGACATGGCTAAAAAATTGCCTTTATTAAACGTAATGACATAGTAGGAGATTTCATAATTTTCAAGATCATGACTTAATTAAAAGTTCCTGAGTCTTTCTCATAAAAATTATAAATATTCAGCCATTCATTATTAAATATTACTAAGCTAAAAATATTGTGGCGGCGACATCTATATACCCTACATATATACAACGGATGGAGGAAATCATTACTCACCATCCTCAAGAGATGGCATTACCTGCACTGCGATCTTAATAGTATGGAAGCCTACATCACGCAAATGAAATTCGGAGGCTAACTCTTCATATATACGATGCCCGACTAATATCAGTCGGGCCGCGGCCCCCGAGCTAACATCACCCAGCTCGGAGGAAGATCTTCCCCTTTGGCCTTCCTACAATATAATATATACATTGCTAGGGCAGTCGCTCATAGAAAAAAATACCATGTCCTTTATTGTGACAGCTGCCACAGGGTAACACACGTTCTCTAAAAATTTCAGGTGTCTACCATTCATAATAAAGAGCTGTAGTGTGTATGAGGAGAGTGCTAGATAATTGTTTGGGAAAGTTAGTGTACGAAACAAACCCAATGACAGTTGTTCTTACACTGTTTATTTTCATGTAAATTCAATATCATAAAATAGTAGCATAAGCATATTGCGAAATACCGCGCGTAAATGACTTGTTTCTTCGTGACCTAAATTAGAACATATTATTTATCACCTACTCTGTATGATTACTTGTACAGATCATAGGGACAGAAAGACATATAATTATTGTTCCGTTTTTCACCCTTTGGGTGGCGAATCCTAAAAATCAATCGATAAACTTATCGCTGCACAAGAAAAAGTTAACAATAGTCATTCCCAGTCATTTTGAAAGTAAATTTGCCAGAATTGACCGGCGCCGGGTCGCCATTCAGCCTCTTTCGTTGTGTTCAAGCCTAATTTAAACTTTCGAGAGCTTCTGAACTTTAAAACGAGCATTTTCCCGGTTGTAGTAGAGCTATTAATTCCTTAGGGCAGTTGATATAGAAAGCGCCCTACGCGCGGATGAAAACGCTATGAAAAACAGAGTCGCCAAACCACACACGTGAAGAAGCAACATGCAGGCCGGCAGGGTGAGGATGGCTGGTGTGGCAGGTAGAACTGCTGTATCAGCTATCTTCACGTCTGGACTTCACCTTCACTTAACATCAGGTGGGGTGGAGTCATTTGTCGGACCTATCTATAAAAAAAAACACATAGCTACATACTTGCACAAGTTTTCCCTTCACTTAATGCACGTTGGAAGAATTCTGAAACTTTCAATTTATCAAACATTTATCAAATTTCGTCTAGAGGTACGAATAGTGAAACCTCATCAGTCATCAGTTCAGGTTAATATACAATAAACAAAATAATAAAAAAAACTGAAAAGTAATGTAGTGTTAGGTACGAGAGCGCGTGGCGTCCGTCCGTCTGTTGAAGAAGTCTCCACTTTTCACAAAAGGTAAGCGTAACTGATACATGCTTCCTGGCAGGCAGGGCATAGCGGATTTCCCGCTAGACTTGGAGCACACGTCTATTTAAGTAACCTTGACCTTAAAGAAGGAGAGCCCAAGCGGGAATTTTTGGATTTACTCAAGCGCGGCAATCTTGTACCTTGTCTAGTACTTCCATCCCACCTGAGCCCACTGCGTGGGGCTGAGCGTCTAGGGCAGCAACTATTTAACGCGGAAGAATCTCTAAACGGGGATCCCGTGACTCCACACTAAGCAGCTTAGAGGGTATTCGCAGGGTTTTTTAGCGGATATTATGCCGTAAAGCGTCCGTAAGAGTTACGGGGTCTTCAGTGGGCAGCCACTGCGGGGGCCCGTAAAGCTTGCGGGAGCCAGGTGTGAGGTCCGTTTGGCGGTGTACCTCTTAAAGGCGTCGTCGTCTGTAAGCAGAGGTTTTGCCTGCGTTAACAAAAAAAAAGTACAGCAACTATTACAGAAGATCACAGTAAAATAACACTATCCAAAATTGGTAGTGTTGTGTTTCTTTCGGTGAGTAAGTTTCCAGGGCTTTACGGGGTAGAGGATTAGGTCAGGGCAGGCAATGGCACGAGTGATATTTTTATCAGCGGGCCATATGTTTATTTGCCACCCTTTTAACAAGAAAAGCATAAGCAACTTACCATCACATGGGTTATCATATTGTCACAAACGCTCTCGAAACAGAACCGCGAAAGTGCTAGAGATCGAATGTGCCAGAACACCGCGGGTCGCGATAGAGGTCGAGTAATGCGGCTCATTCTAAAATGAGCCTTATACAATGCGGCGTAAGGGAGAAAGTGCAACGACATCTGCACTTGTTTACAAGTTATGCGCGTTACCTGCGTAGGTATAAGTAGGTACTTCGTACTCGCGGGTGCTAGCTAATTCTCAATTTAACATGTATTTTCTAGAATGCGTATATAAGCGCGATTGGCGCCGCGCAGAGACAGTTGAGTTTCAACAGCGATTTCAGAGCAAATCCAAAGGCGATCAAAGTGCAACAAAAGTGTTCAAGTGCGATAGTTTAGAGACTTGTATAGTGAAATACAGTGTTTAGTGAGTGTTTTGTAATTAAGATTGTGTGTTAATTGTGTGAACTGTGTGGTGAATAAAGAACTGTCAAGCGTGAACTGGCATATAATTTCGAACCCCATCCCGACACGTAACAATATGTAATAGCATTTTTATTTATTATTCACATGCTCCGTTATACGTTTCACGGCCACACTGAGCGATCTCAAGTTTTAGTTGACTTAATGCTGCCTCTATCTTTGAGATAACAATAGAAAGAGACAACACGCGACTTGATGAAGCAATAAACAATTTATTTAACGTCGTTTTAAAACTCCTTTTTTCTCCTTTTTTAGCGAGCAAACACAAGAAGAGCACGACAAAATACTTAGCCACGAAGAAGCGGCAAGACCGTATCCAGGAGCTTCTGAAGAGTGATGGTTTAGGATCCAAGAAATGGCTGTTCTACCCACGGCCTGAGGTTAAAAATGATTTGTATATTCAAAATCGATCGAATCGTAACTCATGCACTTAAATAAAATCCTTGCCTCTCTTTCTAGATAATGGTCAACTATTAATTGAAATTTAATATCATTGTAATATAACACAAAATAAAATTAAGAATCTTATACAAATCAAGCGTGTTTAACGAAAAAGCTGGCTCAATGCATTTTGTGAAAAACTCGCCAACAAACATATGAATGTGTCACACTGACCCCGTATTCTAATGTCAATAAAAAGGAAAAAATATCGATAATATCGAGTTAAAATGGTCGATATATCGGATATCGATATTTTCCTGACTTCGATATAAATATCGATATAAATATCGATATTTCAAAAGACTTTGCATCCCTAGTTAGGACCCGCCAATGCGCACTGGGCCTGCGTAATGGGTCATGGGCTCAATCTCCCTATTCCATCCATAGGGAAGGTCTGTGCCCCAGCAGTGGGGACATTAATAAGCTGATGATGACAATGATGATTTAGGTTACGAGGAACCAGAGCGAGCCGCCTGAAGCCCGTGAAGTAACTGAGCCCAGGGACAGCTGTGACCAGAGGGTGAAGATTGATGGAGAGTTCTTCAGGAAGTACAAGAGACGCAGCAAAGTGGACAGCGACGCGCCCATCGCCAAACTGAAGAGGTGGGAACTGATATTATATAAGAAATTAGGGTTCATACAGGCCATTTGATGTTTTGTTGGTTATAATACAAAGTTATTTTGACAAGTGATGTCTATGAGTTTCTTACCCTGTTTCGTTTTCGGTTTGAATTCTAATGGGGGTGTTTTTTTCTTGGATTTGATTATGATTATCGCAAATATTTGTTCCGCCTGAGTCATGATTGTATTATTTATTTATAATTTAACTGTTACATAGTATAACATAAAATAAAGTTTGTTTTGGAACAAAAATAACCGTATATTGTTTTAAACTTTCATATGGTCACTAACATTATAGTAATATAAGTTATTTACGGGAATGTTACCATGTACCTTGTTTTTAGCGAGTTTCCGATATTTCGGCATTGTTGCAAGCGCCATGACCACGGAGTAACTTAAGTTATTGCGGGTAGGCTGTTATTGGCAGACATGTCAGTCTGCCCTCCGACGTAGTTTTTTATTGCGTTCGAGATTTTGGAGTGAATAGTGAGAATGTGAACAGTGTTACGGGTATCGAACGCAATAAAAGACTTCGTCGGAGGGAAGGCCGATATGCCTGCCTATAACAGCCTACCCGCAATTACTGCAGTTACTCCGTGATCATGGCGCTTGTAACAGTGCCGAAATATCGAAAACTCGCTAAAAACAAGGTACATGGTAACAATCCCGTAAGTAACATAAATTACTTGTTTCTTATTTTTTCACGCACATCAGGAAATAGAAAGCCTCTCTGAGTTTGTTTCGCCGGTTCTCAGAAAGGTGTCCCAATTTTGGAACCGGTGGTAGTTTACGGTAGTTAGGGTCAAATAAATAAACATGAAATTACAAAAAATAATTTGAAATAAAGTACTTTATTGACTAAATTAACCAATAAATTCATACATAGACAATAAAGTTTTAAAAATCTTCCAACGAAATATCCGAACGCTCAATAAAAGTCTTTCGAAGGTAGCTCGACAAAGTAAATAAAAACTCATTATTCTGACGATGCAGACCTGATAAGGCTGCGAAACGTCAATAAATAAATAAAGTTTGTGCATTAACCCGTTAAAACTATTTTTATTTAACTTAATAACCGCCTTTTGTCCCGTCTGCATCAGCAGTCTTTAGCACCCACCAATTCGCACCAGGTCCGCGTGGTTGGTCACGGCCCAGGCTCCCTATTCCATACATAGGGTAGGTCTATATCCCTGTAGTGGAGACATTAATAGACAGATGCTGATGATGATGATGAACCAGTGGGAGACTTAATAATCCTTCATCCCAACATAATAAATCATAGAACAGCTCTCTACTGTACTCTACAAATATGTGTTTACACAGAAAGTATTACAAGTGAAGTGGAAGTTATTTAGATTAGTATTAATGAAATGAAATGAAAAATTTAATTGGCCATCTTGTATAAGAAACAGAGAGAAAAAATATATTTATATAAAAAAGAAACTTAACCTAAGAACAAAAATTAATCACTAGATTTAAGACGGCCAATCAGGACCCTGCCTCAGCTTATGCTAATACAATGTATTTAGAGGACATGGAGTGTTTCTTTTTTTTTTGGATCAACAAACAGTTTCACAAAATAATTTCTTAAAAATACATACAATACCGTTGACCACAGATAGTTAAATAAATAGTTTTTTTTACACCCTATTAAAGCATATATTAGTCATATTCATTTTTCATGTAATTCAAAATAAGCTGTAAGTGGCGTAAACGATGTTGATTTAAAGTTGACAGGATATTAAAAATACACTTTTTGAATGAATAAACATTCAGACTAAATATATCTACATTTGTAAAGTTTATGTTATAAACTTCGGTAAGACGGTACATAGGTGAGCGTTTTCCAGAATTAGTACGACAATACTTTGTAATAAATAGTTTTCGAAATATCAAAGCAACACACGCGCCAACCTCGTAGAAACTTCTTCACATCTCTTTTGTAGAAATCCATGCTTAGATAAGCCTCAACAAGAAGCTCCATCCACAGCTTCTTCATTGGAAACCAAACAGCTGCTGTTCGTTATACGTTTTTCTTATACTCCCAGTCCAGTAAAAGAGATGTTGCCGTATCTTTCTCCTAAAAATTTAATGTATAATTTTAATCTCACCATTTTTCTACTTCAGCTTCTTCACTTGCACTCATCAGTCGCTTAAGTATTCAGACTGTCTGAAAGTAATATTTGATACGTCGTATGAAGGAATCATACGACGACTCGAGGATTAGGTTATTTGTTCGGTAAACAACAACTTTAATAAACTAAAGTAAGCACTTCACCCTTTGCTTTGCTTATTCCAAGGGGAACTTTTTACCCGGCTGCGCAATGCAAGAGCGCGAAGCGCGACGCGCAGACAGGGTTATGTGTTTAACAGTCTATATATGTATGTTTGTTCCTTTGTGGCACACTAGAGACCAAACGCCTGGACCGATTTTGATGATTCATACATCAATCGATTCGTCTCAATCGTGGGAGTGCTACTAAAGATATGATAGTAATCAAAATTCAATATGGGCAAAATTAGGCGCCATATTGTGACGAAGTAAAAAAAATAGGTTGACAAAATATGTCGAGTGGGGTATCACTGTCTAGATAATCAAAAATTATATTTAGGTTTTTAACACCATTTTTCATTTTATATGATTGTTTAGGATCTACAACGCTTTAAAGTTGTATATTAACCACTTACGCTTTTAATTTCAATCTTACGTTTGTATGGATCTTTGTTACTCTTTCACCTAAAAAATACTGAATGGATTTTAATGAAACTTAACAGTAATATAGCTCATATATGATAATTACATATATATAATAATTTATGTAGTTATTGAGTGAATTGGCCAATATATAGCAATAAGTGTCACATAAGACGGAAAAAAATGTCCCATCTGCGAGCCATTTTGGCCTGCACTGCAAAAACAATAAAAGTTACATGAATGTAATGTAGAGTGAAAATGTATCTTTTAAATAGTTCTAAAAAAAAGTCCGTGACTCCATATATATATTTTTAATGAGTAAGCCATTACCGCTAAAATAGTGAATCGAAACTCAAATATTATTTGATATCTATTTCCAAAATGCACATTTTGTATTAACAAATTATTTTTTATCAAAACAAATATTTTTATCACTTTTGATATTTAAAGACGATAAACTTTGCCTTTTACACTATGTCATTTCGACGAATATTTAAAAAGTTACAACGATGACAAAGTGATAGCGCGGTGTACTATGTAAAAGAAAAAAAATGGGGTATTCGCAGTATCTGATCCTATACGAAGTACTAACATTAAAACTGTGATACAGTTCCTTCTTATTAAATGATGAAAAATATATTATCATAATAGGTATTTATGATTATTGAATTTTAATGAAAAACTCAGAATTTTACTGTTTTTCATTTTTTTTAACGATATTACTTAAGGTTACAAAAAAGGTTTACTTAATATAATGACAAATAACACATTTTTCGCTAGTAAGTACATACTTATTGGAATCCCTGTATTTATTAATCAGCTCGCGATAATATTGGTTTTGTAATAATTCTGCAAAATTCAAAGTAAATACTGTAGATTTTTATAGGTAAATCACCCCTTTCATCACCCTACGCCTATAAGTATTGCGATGTTGTAGCTAAGAACCAAGTTCCCATCTACTTCTTTATGGGAATTCATTATATTCGATTTAGCTATTAGGGCACGGAAGCGCAACAAAAAAACTCACTTTCGCATCTATAATATTATATTATACTTACTAGTGATCCACCCGGGCATTGTACGGGCGAAATTTATTTACCGGGATAAAATATAGCCTATGTCACTCGGACAAAATGTATTTAAATAAAGAAAAATGTTATAATAAATAATGTAGCTACCTTATGATGAATTAATATTTGAAACCGGTTCAGTAGTTTGACAGATTATTTGTTACAAACATACAAATCTTGCCTCTTTATAATATTAGTATAGATAGTGAGGATAAAATTATTTAATTGATGAAAAAGATTTAAAAATAAAGTAAGTAATAGGTTTATTTGATCATATTTGTAAAAGTTACTTAACATTTGTGCTTAACAGTGATACGTTATTCGGTATTTTTATAACCAAAAAAAAAATTGGAAAATAATTGCCATGATTGCACTACTGGGAGTACTCTTCATTCGAGCTTTACACTACCAATAAAAAAGGGTCGAACACAAAGTCTTTGACCTGTTAAATATGAACGCTTTAAAAGAAAACTACAAAGAGAACTATAAATTGATAATAAATGAGATTTCTATGGTGCTCTACCTAACGTTATGAAAATTTTGTTATGCGCCTTTAGTTTAATCAAATATTATAAACTTTGCTTTGGTGATTGCATAATTACTTAATTTAGTGATCTAAGGCAGTTGCCACCATTGTCCAAAACAACAGACGGGAATTACTTCTTTCTTCAACCTGCGACATAAACGTCATTGATTGGTATTGTATATAGGGTGATTAAAAACATTTGAAGTTAACTTCTGGCATCTACATATTGGGTTGCTGTGAATTATGTAGGTATATCAAATTATGAGACTAGGGACTGACACTGAATTTGTCTATATCACAATCTTAGACGTCCGGCATTGACATGACAATGCAGCCACTGCCAATTTTAAATAGTCGACGAATAAAAGTAAATGAATTTTATATTTACTGCTAAACTATTAAAAAAAACAAACAAAAGATGACTTTTTAAGTAAGTGCTAGTTTACTATAAAATTTACATACATTAGAGATATTTATGTAACGACTTGATTTAACTTCACACATTTTTGCGAAAATTGAGGCCCATCTGTAGCCTTGACCCCGCTGGTAAAGTCTTTATATGTCTTAATAAATCAATCTTTTAGACCGACGCAAGGTACTTAATAATTCCCGCGATATTAATTCCCTTACTGAAGTAACAACACTACGGTATATACGGTCTTAAAATACTAACTAAAAAGTGTGAAATAAAAAAGGTAAATTTAAAAAATCAAAAAACCCGACTGCTTAATTATTCTTTAAATAAAAACTGAAAAGAAAAAAACAAGTCCAATAGTCTATAATTCTGTTAATAAGGAACAAAGCTACTTTAACAGTCGGGACCCACTGTTGAAAAATATTATGTATTCTTGAATAACTAATGGGTCCTGACTGTTAAAGTAGCTTTGTTCCTTATTAACAGAATTATAGACTACTGGACTTGTTTTTTCTTTTCAGTTTTTATTTGAAGAATA